CAAGCTGTCATAATCAACAATATTAAAAATATATTTTACCATGATTATACATTTATTTTTCTTATATAGTTTTTATCATTGTCATTATTATTATAAAGTTATTCTTTATTCTTTCCCTTTGTCACTATTTTTTTTAATTATTTATTTCTGTTTTTGTAAGGTAGGCATTTTTATGTCAATTAATAATATTTTTATGTCAGAATTACTGAAATTGATATGCTTTCTGTGTCTTTCAATCGTTCATTTGAAATTGTGGTAGTTCTGTAATTGCTGTTATTAAATTATATATATATAATATATATTATTTTACTTTGGTTATTCTTTTTTTTTATAAAACAAAAATTGTAGATGATATAAAGAGGATTACTATATTGACAAAGTATAGATATCTTTTGTTGGAATGAATAAATTAACTAGTTTTAAGGAAAATTCAAGTCATAAAACTTTTGATACACCATGTGTAAAAATATGGTTTTTATTTTTACAATGATGTAACAAAAGTTTCATGGTTTTGTTAATAATATTTAGTCCTTAATGTGATGGCACTTGCAGTGACACAGCACTGATTTCATGAGTGGATCACAATAATTCAAAAGAAAATTCAAAACTTAAAATCAAATTAATCAGTATATCAACAAATTGATCAATAATGTCATTGGACAAATAAATGAATCCATGTAAGAAAAAAAATACTACTGTAGTCCAGGTATGGAGAAATTAGTGAATATGTTAAAATTAGTGGATTAAAAAATATGAATCCATGTATGGATAATGGAATTAGTCCGGTATCGACAAGTGAATTAATGTATGAATTTGCAAATGAATGGAAATTAATAAATGTATGAATGAACACTAATTATGATGATGAATGGACAAATGAATAGGTGTTTGTTTAAGATTAGATTTTTTATTTCCTAATATTTTACATGCACAGTGTACAATGGGGAACATTAGCACAGGACTCCTTGGACAAGTTTTTGCTTTTATGGAGGATTTAACTCAAGACTCTAGATGTACAAATGAACAAATGAACAAATGTATGAATGGACAAATATATGAATGAGCAAATGAATAAATGTATGAAGAAACAAATGAATAACTATATGCAAAATAAGTCCCACTTACTATTATTATTATGAATGAATGGACAAATGAATGAATTTATGCAAGTAGATATAAATATATACAGTGAGTAGATACAAAAATTCCAATTCCACATGCATGGGCAAGTATTTAGGTGCCCAAAGTCAGCTCGGGCTCCAGGGCTGTGTAGCTATCAGGCAAGCATTGGTGGTATTCATGTATTGTCTGGTAGTGAAAGAAACTAACTGACCCACAAACTCCAATTCCACATGCATGGGCAAGTATTTAGGTGCCCAAAGTCAGCCCGTGCTCCAGAGCTGTGTAGCTATCAGGCAAGCATTGGTAGTATTCATGTATTGTCAGGTAGTGAAAGAAACTAACTGACCCACAAATTCCAATTCCACATGCATGGGCAAGTATTTAGGTGCCCAAAGTCAGCCCTGCTCCAGGGCTGTGTAGCTATCAGGCAAGCATTGGTAGTATTCATGTATAGTCTAGTAGTGAAAGAAACTAACTGACCCACGTAAACAAGGCTAGAACTCAACTTTAATCATAGCTTGGTTTTCTCTCATGCCCTAGAAATATTTCATATATGTAATGCCTTAGGGAAGACATGTAGATTTATTAATGAAAACACGCAAACTACTCAGAACATGGATGTGTTTGTAGGTATGTAACCAGTTGATAGACGACAGTATCTAGTTTTTTAGTGCATATTTGTTGTTGTTGGGGTGTTTGAATATTTGCTATAGCCTATGTATTTTAAACTTTCTTAGGTCTTAAACAAATTTTGTTATAAGAAGATTTTGTATTTTTATGAAAATACTATGTTATTCTGTTGATAAATTGTTAGTACAAGTATAGTAATATAAACATGTTATTGGAACTTTTAGAAAACTTTTGGGAACTAAGTAAAGTTTTGGATTCAAAGACTTCGTCTGTCAGTCAATTAATCAATCATTCAGTCAAGTTACAAAGTAATTATTGGAAATCATGTTAATTTATGAAGTTGATAAATTATTAGTAAATGTACTAGTTACATAGTAATACAAACAACTACTGAAACTAATTAGTAAGCAAAGAAACTAATTGGTAAGGTTATGGATTCATAGATTTAATCAGTTAATCAATCAGTCACATTTATAAAGTAAATTTATGGCGTCAAAAAATTCAATCAATCATTCAATCGGTCAAAGTATTTCACTATTACATTAATCATTAATAATTTTCTATTTATTGTCAATTAATTTTTTCTATTTGATAACCCTTCACTGCTGATTTTTTTTTTTGTATTTTTAGAACAGTTTTTTGCTGTTGATATATTTACAAATTACTTTATCATGTGATCATGTGGAATATACTATTTAGAAATATTACTGCAGGCCTACATCTTTTATAACATATTGATATATTTTGATAATTATGACCAAATTTCCAATCTGTATTTTACAATAGATAGTTCTGGTTTAATTTTAGCTCAATTTTGATACATTTTCGAAACAGATTGAGTTTGTTTTAAGCCAAATATTAGCAAAATCTTGACTTTTTATAACCAATTTTAGTTATAAAACATTTTATATTCTTGATATGAATTTACATTCAGGAACTTTATGAAAATTACCAGTTGAGTTATTTCTAATTATGTTGGTGATTATTTTCAGTAGATCGTTTTTATTTTTGTCTATTTCAAATCCTAGGCCTATGACATGCACCATGCACAGCACCTTCTTCCTTTTCTCCCCTTGGGAAATAGCCTTCCCTCGACCTAGTACTACTACACTGTAGCCTACTAGCATACCGTTTGCTGGGCTAGCTCTTGCCTGCACAGTTGATAATAATATGATTATTACTAGAGCTATGTTTAGCTGTTTAATATTTGCCTAGATAAAATGTATAAAAGTCAATTTATATTGTATAATATTAACATTTTTCTTACCTATAAGAAGTCTTTAAAATTGGTTTAACAAAATATAAACTCCAATTAATCATCCTCCATGTAATTAAGTCTTCTGTCAGCTACAGACTTTCAACCAATCAGAGAGCTGAATTTTGAAGTTCAAAATAATATTAAAAACTTTACAGGAATGTAATGCCTACAATTTCTCCACCGAAATGTGAACTGATCTTTTTACAACTTAGTAAACTTTACTTAAACAAAATTATTTGATATATTGTTTTTTATTATTAATTTGACTATGATGTATCATTGTTGGAAAGATTATTACTTAAGGTGAAAATGATAAATAATGATTATAATTATTGTGGCAATCAGCTCTTATAATAATGAAAATTAATATCCAAGCCAATATATATCGGAATAGCACTGTACATAAAAATAATAAAGGATTTGAAGACTTTCCTGCGCCCTACGGAGACAGCCATCTCTCGTCTGCATCACCTTTTTCCGCCACAACTTTGACATTCTGTGAATTGCTTAAGGCCACTTACCTTTCAAATCAAACTCTACCTTTGTGTTTGTCATCTTGTTATCCTTACAGTTGATATTTTGTTTTTATAGTATTTTTTATTATGATAATTTAATAATCTATAACATCCACATTATAAATCTAGATGCCTCAAAAGTAGTATTAAAAGGTATTAATAAATATTACCTTCATTATATATTATTAAATATCATATTATTGGTGTCTTTTTGTAACATTAAACATTTCTATTGGACATATATTTATTATTATTTATTAGTTAAATTGCTAGTCGTTATTAAAAAATAATGTAATATTCTTATTAAATATTATTGTTAGTAAATATTGTTGTTATTATTATATGTGTATTTTTTATATATTTTTTTGTTTGATTATTTCATTTAATCTAAATTAATTTATATTACTATTAATTTAGTTTGTTCCATTCCATCTTTTGTTTTGTTTTGCTGTATGTATTGAGGGTCCCTAATAATCAGATTCGGCTGGATGAACTACCACCCTTAAAGATTGTTAAAATAAGTAAGCATTTATATTAGTAATCAATTATTACACAATATTTATTTTATATTACCAGTAATAAACCTTATTAATAGTGTTGTTATTATTTTTTTTATTAAACAATAATTATTATGTGTACATTGCTATATGTACTTGCTTAAAAATATCCAAGGGATAGTATACAGTTGGCTGTACTATGAGAAACAAAGATTTCATTATTCAAATATTTGCTATAATGGTTTATGTATTTGAGTGATAAAAATGGGAAAATGTGGACGGGACCTCAGCCTAGTCTCAGTTGGTCTGCTAGCAGTTGCCCTCACTATGAAGACTCGCGATGGGAAAGATCTTAATTTGATTTGGTTGCTGCGGCATCCTTGCCGAAAACAGTTCAAGGCCAGCTCTCGGAGCGCTGCATTACGCTGAGTTTTTGCTTCCTTCCTCTCCAATGTGTTTAATTAGTGGCTGGCCTTATTCATTGAAAAACCTGTGCGAACTTCACTAGGAAATACTGATGAGATTAAATCATGGATCACGAATATGGATTAGTAGTTGAACAGATTAAGATGACGTGAGTCAGTAAGAGATGATTAAAGCAAGTGGCTAATGAACAGCGCACGTGTGTAGCAAAACTGAAGATCATTTATTTCCTGGAACCAATTATCCTTATTTTAGTTTTGTTTCGTCTAGTGAAATAATTAATTAAGAGATTAGAATCTAAAGGAAAATATCTATTGGTAATTATAATATGCTTAAAGATGTTTAATTATTAATAATGAAGAATAAACATTTTATGGCAGTCATTTTGAAAAGTGGGAGTCTATCAGGTTTTTGACCAATAGAGGGTGCTAGACAGAAAAAAGGAATAATGTGTAGAGCAGAAATGAGCTACAAATAAAATACTTACTCCACATTCTATGTTTTCATTAAAATTGAACCATTTCTGAAAAAAAGCATTTATTTTTTTTTTCTCAGGGTCTAGAAAGTGCTCTTAGTAACGTCATGCAGATGTATGGCCACAGTCCGGAAAGTGTGAGTCCGGCCCATAAAGTGTTGTCTTCGCTGTCAGCAGCTTACACACCCGCGATCACGTCTATATTCTCCCAAGCTGGCCAGGATAATCATGTGACATCTCTCCACCACAATGAAGTTGAGCGCCGCTTTAACGATCGCGAAGCACCACCGAAGGAGGTAAACACTCGAACAATTGATTTAAATAGGACTCGAGATTTCATGTCTCGTGGGCCTATCTCGCTGACCCAGCACCGCAGTGTTCGTGAAGTTCATGATACACACAGCGATATTAGTGATATGGATAATGGAAGTCTGCATAGCGAAATGGAATCCTCACATTCTCTGCCCCTGCCACAGTCAGCTATACATCATGAACGTATCCGCGTAAGCAGACTACGTAATTCCGAGAAACATGACAAAGAACCTCACAGCATAATATTATCACCCTCTACTGAACTAACGGTGCCGCAAAGAAGAGAGGTTCGCCATGAATCGATCTCCGAAGACTGTTCACGTCTTTGCACCAAATGTAATGAGGATCTTAACATCTCTACAAGTTTCAAATGCGTTCATTGCCAGATCATTTTCCTTGATCATGTGATGTATACCATACACATGGGTTGCCATGGTTTCCGGGAACCCTTTGAGTGCAATATATGTGGCTACAAGTGTAAGGACAGATATGAGTTTGCCTCACATTTGGCAAGAGGAAAGCATTTTTGATGTCTGCAAATTATAGAGGCTATAAGTAGCGTATTTTCCAAAGATGTTTAAAATATGTATCTAACCATATATATAAATATGTATGTATATTTATCTGTCTATCTTTATATTATATATAAAGAATATGATTATATAATATACATGTATATTGTACAATTATATATACATGTGTATGTGTATATTTAAATTAATACATACTTAAATGGAGTATGTATAGTATATAAATATGTATGCCTAGAGTGTATGTGCACCTGGCATATATATGATATATGTTTATATATACATGCATATGCATGGTAAGACAGTGCTTAGCAGAGGATCTTATTTCATGTGTAGTTGATCTGGCATGTCTGTATATATGTTGATGCAGATTTAGTTTTCTATTGTGCAAAAAAGGAGTTTGCAGATATAACAAATTTGATATAGTAAAAAAGGATTTTGCTCTAAGATCAGCAGGGGAAGGAGGCATTAATACTGGAAGAGTACCAGTATTAACATTTCTTTTTCAAACGTTTAGCTGCAGGATGTATCAAAGTGTAAACAACGTGTAGTACATGTGGAAGATTTAAGAGATGCCTTTGGTCATCTGTGTACAATGGTGATATCGCAGATGTTCTAGTAGGTGTCACATATATTCTGATGTCACAGGTGTTGTAGTGATGTCATAGGTATTCTTGTGATGTCACAGGTGTTCACTGGATATTCCAGATGTTCTAGTGATGTCACAGATATTCTTGTAATATTGGTGATATCACAGGTGTTCAAGTGATATCACAGGTGGTTAAGTGATACCACAGGTGGTATGCGCTTTCTCAGGGTTCTTGTTTGGGCATATAAGTTATTAAAATTAATAGTCCATTGCTGTTTCTTTTTGCCTACCTATATAAAGGTCTTTCCTCACATCACAAATCCTTATTAGCTCTTCATGCTTGCATCCCACCTTGATCAGTAATTAAACTGAAGACAATGCATTCTATTTGAATAAATATGCTAATGAGGATGAGTGATTATGCAAATGAAGTATATTGACAACTGGAGACTGACCTCAAAACTTCGGCCCTCAAAATCCATCCTGCAAATTTATTTAAGAATATGCCTTATGATAGCCAAAGACCCGTTAAAAGTGTTAACAAGTGTACAGTATATATATAGATATACAAATTTATATATATAAATATATCAGATGAAGATAATAAAGCACTATGATTTATTGATAGGGAACGTGAGGTTGCACTGTGCAAGATTAAAGCGCTTAATGCATTTTGTGACAACCTTTCTTTTGTCATTTTTACCCATCGCCGTTCCATTTTGGTGAGATCAGATTATTATAGGAAATCCTATTATATAGGCTACGTACGGGTTGTATACATGTTGGATACGTGTGTGTGCGTGTGAAATTTGGGCAGAAGTAGTAGCCCTGGATGGATGTAGATATACTAATTGCGTGTGCGATGGAAGTTTAATATTGTGATTTTGTGTATTTTATGAGAAAAACAAATTTGAACGTGTTTAAATGTCTGCATCTATTGACTGTCAAAAAAAAAATGGAATCTGTGTTCACAATAGCTACACACAAAGCTTTCAGTGTGTAAGTGTCATTCCAAATAGCTCCCTCAATTGTATTATCTGTCATTATTTGCATCACAGATCTTTGGATGGAATTTATATACAGTAAATCAAAATTGAATTTGAAAAACCCTGAGAAAATGTACCATGTAATGCTTAAATGGAGTATATATTTATCATCACAGTTTCCTTAGCACTATAAGGAATGTATTAAAGTGATGTTTGTAAAATGAAACGTGTATGATATTCAAATTGTCTCCAAATAAGTCACCCTAAGGAGATTGTCACCAAGTGTTTGAATATATATGTCACCAAGTATTTGAATATATACTTAAAAGGGAATGTGATTGTAAGGAAAAGTCATTGATGGAATATTAGTAGAAAGTACTATTGAATTTCCACCAATAATGTACCCAATGTGTCGATGTGATTGTCCCACCTTGTCCAATGTAAATGAAAACATGTACGACTCTAAAAAGCAAGTACTAATTAGTGAGATAAAAATCACAATCTTATTTCCTTGATGCTTAACAGTGATGTGGACTAATTCGTATTTAATGATATTTGGCAATCAGCAAAGGAGCTGATTTATTTATTGAATTCCCAGCTGTGCCTTGTACCTCCATATTTTCTCCATCTACGCATGGATTAGTGTAACTACTACTGCTACCGCCACTTATCCCACCATCTATACTGCTACTACTCTGTTGCCACTACCATCACCACCATCTTCACTACCACCACCATGTTTACCACCACCAACTTCACTGCCACTATAGTAAATTCTATATGGCCACAACCATGACCACCAGGTTTTTCACCACACACCCACTGTTATTACTACAACTATTATTAATACTTCGACATTTTAATACTTTCCAACATGTTTTTCTGTCACATACCACTCTATCCCTGCCTCTTTTCCATCTATTTTCCCCCTCCCCTCTCTTTTCACTTTTTTGCCCTTTCTTGCCTCTCTTCTATCTGTTTCCTTTGTCTCTTGCCTGTTTCTTCTCTTCCATTTGACTTTTTCTCCTCTCTCTTTCCCCTCTCTCATCCATCTTTTCCCCTCCTGCCTCTTTTTTGGTTACAGCAGTAGTATTTCCCATGTATACATGGATAAAAATGCAACCACTTTGCTTATATCAACTCATATGCAATTTTCCACTCAGTTAAAGGTGTGTCAGATAAGAGATTAAGTAAATTGTAATGAGCAAGTAAAATAGTATTATCAGTAATAATTGAAAATATGCATGTAAATGTATATATTTCATTTGTATGTTGCAAACAAAAATTTTACGTTTAAGGAACATATTTATTTTGAACCTTTATATTTTTAATTAGTTGGGTGTCAAGGCAACAGAGATCTAATTAAGTCATGGCGATTTTTTTTTTTTTTTGCAATTAGTTGCCATGCTATTCCAAATTTTCAACCTAATTATTATACAGTTTAATAGAAATATTTATATTGTATTATCTCATGCATAGATACCCAGTAAAAATATGATTGGTTCTTTTGTCATTTGCTTGCTGTGAAATGAATAGAAAAAATATATATATTTTATGTATTTTTGATAATGATTTGAAATGTGAAAACATTTTTGTAGTGATCATGGTTCACGATTTTTTAATGAAATTAATTGCAATTGAGGTTGAAGTAGTTAATGTTTGCACAGTACTCCCATTTCAATTTTATGAGTATTTTTTTCTGAATTTTCTTTAATTCTGTTTGTGATATCTTTGATGTGTGTAGAATTAATTATTTGTGTTCAAAACACATTTCTGCTTACTGTTTTAATGGTGTTAATTTGTTCTAGATTCTACCAGTTTTGTGAGCGTGTGCAATTCGGGTCATTCTTTTTATTGTGTAATTTAGATTGCTTGATTCTCATCTTCTGAAAGCCTTGCAGATAAATTATGCACCTATTAATGATAACCTATATATATATTTATTAATGCTCAATAATTGGCCGAGAAATTTTGCCTTTTCTCATTAAATGGTTAAATATTTTTTAAAATTTAATAAATTTAAGCATTATAATAATATGCCTTTTACCTAATCACAGGCATTTAATGCCTTTTTATGTTTACAGAAAAATTTTAATTGTAATAATATTTGAATTGATGATAGATAATTAATTTAATGCTCCCAAATGTATGGCTGATTTTGGTAAACTTTTACCTCAAAATCGAAGCCATCTATTGGTTATATGCAAATTAAAGTTGTAACTTTCTGTCTTACTGTTTTTACAACAGTGAAAAATAGTTGCAACTAATTATAGAATATAGAGGGCGCAATTTATTATACACTGGTATTGTTACCACTTATACATCTGTATTTAATTTTTATGGATAAGAATTAGACAGTACTTGTTTTGGGTTCCATCATTTATGGCACTCTGGCTTCATGTGCTGTGAAAGTAAATGAATTTATTGAAGAATGGATTAATAATTTGTTAGCCAACTCAGATTTGCCTTGATATTTATGGAACACAGTATAATCAATGTAAAGTATTATAGTACCATCGTACACAAGCTATCATATTCACAACCATCAGCATTTTCATTCATTAGACATCGATAACTTCATCATGGTTATCATTTTAACATTCACCATTTAATTTACAGTAGTACCACCATAATCCAACACAATCAAATTATCTGTTGATGTTCACTATCTTTCACCTTTTTAAATCATTTGATGGTCCTAAAATTATTACCTTGAGAAACTTTTCCTTCCTTGCTTCTGTTTTACCCTTTAGTTTTTAAGCTTCGAGGGATGTTGTCGTCGTTGATGTTTTATTTGCTTGTAATTTTAAAAATTTGGCAGTTTCTTTGATAATGAATATACAATGTAGAAAATGTTGTACGCTTTGTAAATGTCTATGTTACTTGTTTGCAGTCATCTCGGCATCTTTTATTTAAACGAAGAATGCATGTAGATAACCAATTAAGAGAGTGCACACCTTGAGTAAGTAGATAATGACTAACAAGTATTGTTAATTAGGGTGAAGACTGTAAGCTACCTTTTTTGATTGGCAGGACCAAGGGGGAATGTTAAGTGATTGTGACACCATTAGCTGGTCACCCTCACCCTGGATTCCTTTTCTTGTGCCTTTTTAAGTTCTGAAAATAAATGATGACTTTGCCAAGCTAAATTACCTGTATTGTGTTCTTTATATTTTTGTCTGCCAAACAATAGCTCATTTAAAAGGATCAAGTAAGTTGTTAACCACAAATGATTTGAAAGACAAGTTTTCACGGATTTAAATGCTGAGCGGTTACAGTAGCTGAGAGGTATCGTTCCTGCTTCTTGTGCTGAAGATGACGGTTCAAACTCTGCCAGCGTTGGGTTTTAATAGGAGTCTGATCACATGGTTCTTCGAAAAACCCTCATAATTGAAATGCGGGTTGAAGAAAATGCGAAGATATTATAATTTATGTTTTCAGTCCAACATGCATTAGGACAGTCATAAAGACTCATTTTTGACAAGTTTGTGGTTTTGTCTGAGTCGATTACATTTATTACCAGCCTATATAAGAATCTAAACAAAAGAATTCAGGAAAAGTAATATTTACTTGTCTGTTAATTGATAGGGGCAGTCTTCAGGCGTGGATCCAGACCTTCGCCCAGTTCGCCCAGGCGAAGGTCAGGGTGAGAAATAAAAATAAAATGTTGACCATTTTTCCAACAATCATACTTTCATTGACTCTTATTTTGAACATTACCATTAGGATATTGTTTTAAATCCACACTATCCTATACCTTACACTTTTACAATGATTGTACTGTTGGGGGGGGGGGCTAATGAAATGATAGTCCACACTATGTTAGCACCACTGTGGTTGACAGTGACCCGAAAATTTCAGTATTTTATACCTATGGAGGCCTGGAAATGGAAGTTAAGTTACCTTTTAAGTCTTTCTATTTTTGACGAATTGAGTAAAAAAATCCAGAAAAAATTAAATACTGAGAGACCTCAGAGGTTGAAAAACATAATAAAGTGCCTCTTTTTAAATGTTAAAAAATAACTGACACAAATTTTAAGTATTAAAACTGCCATTCCTGGAATCTAAAAGTCTCCAATTCATTTTCTCACCTCAGCCTCAATCGTGATGGGGCTCAGGTGGATATAGTAATTTTCCTAGTTTTTATGTATTAAAGTTCCATTCCATTTTCTGGCATCTAAAACTCAACAATTCTCAAAATTTTCTCACCTCAGCCTCATCCATGGTGGGGCTCATGTGGATGTACTAATTTTTGTAGTTTTTATGTATTAAAATGTTATTTTCCAGCATCTAAAAGTTTCAAATTCTTACAATTGTCTTACCTCAGCCTCAACCATGGTGGGCTGAGGTGGATGGATTGGTAGTTTTCATATTTTAAGTATCCAAATGCCGTTTTCGGGCATCTATAGTCCCAAATTCTTAAAATTTGCTCACCTGCGCTACAAAACCATGGTAGGGGAGCTCAGGTACATATCGTAAGTTTTGTATTCAAGTGCTATTTTTTTGGGCATCTATCAAGTGTCAAATTCTCAAACTTTTCTCACCTAAGCCCCAACCAGTGTGGGGCTCAGTTAAAATGGTAGTTTTTAGAATTGTAAGTATGAAAGTGCCATTTTTGTGTACCTACTGGTCTTATCTCATTCAAAATTGTTATTGTAAGTTAATATCTTGCTCAAATAAACAAATTAAGGAATTGAAATATGGAATGCAATTTTTAGCTCATGACTGACAGTATATCTTCAATAGGAACACACAAAATATATCAGCAAGAAGACAACAATATACATATCTTGTGTAGATTTTCCATTTAATTTTGTCTATGTTCAATAACATACTTTAATAAATCACACGATATTTGACAAACAAGAGGAAGCTTCCAGCTTGATAAAAACATTGAAACAAATTTGTGCTAGCTAAAATAAACCCAGTTATTTAAACATGGATTGTTATATAAGATCTCTATAGCTACACATGATACAATTAACTATGGTATTACCAGGATTGGAATCAGGTAGAGATGATGAATATCACATAATAGTCTTTTTGTAAATAAACCTTTTGCAATTCTTTTCAGCTGTTTGCAGCAAGGTTTATAAATAAAAACTTTTACAAAAAACCAAAACATTATCTTGTTCTTTATACAAATCCATAAACAACCAGGCTTGGTTGAAGCTGTTTAAGCCTAAGTTTCAAGTAGGCCACGTCCCCTACCCTTACATATTGGGTTAACAGCCAGTGGCGGCGACAGCGGGGTGGCAGGGGGGGCTTAAGCCCCCCACCGGACATGTCAAGCCTCCCCGCCGGACAGAGCTCGTCGGGCAGTCAGACCATAAAACATATAAAAATAGGCCCATAACAAGCCAACACATGTCTGTCATAGTCTGAGAGTGCCATTTTCGGCCATCTAGAGGTTTATATTCTTTAAAAAAATCTCATTTTGGAGGGGGAACCCACTCCCAACCCCTTCTCCCAGCTCGAGCCTAAGAGCTCAAGTCCCCCTGTCGGACAACTTAGCCCCCCCCCCCAGAAAATATATCCTAGAGCCGCCACTGTTAACATCCACTCCTCCAAAATGCCCATTCCCACCCTAATGCTCATTTTGTCCTTGTTGTAACAACCAATGCCTCTTGATGCTTATGATACTCGACAAGATAAAAATGGATAAAAACTTACAAAATCATTTTCTCCATTTTCTATGTTTTAGGAAAGACATTATTATTTTTCTTTAGTAAAAAAAAAATTTTAATTAAATTTGCAAATGCTTATTACGACAATATCACTGGAATGCTCGTATGAACAATTGCACTGGCCAAAGAAACTACTGGAACCAAAACACGCATTTAGCACACTACTGTGATATAACAATTTCAGGATGGATGCAAAAAACATTGTTAAATTAATTGTTTGGGAATTTTGGCATCATAGGATTACTAGTATTTACTGTTAGACCTCTAACATTTCATTTAAACCTCCCTTTCCTTAATCATGTTTTACTCAAACATCCTCTACTTTTAATGACCAATTTACCATTCCTACTATTTTAGGCCTAATTTTTAGTTTGTAATTCTTCAGACCTAATAATACATATTTTCATTGCACAATTTAATTTGTAATAATCATAAAAAAGTCAATGATTTTTAAAATACAGTATGTCTTAGAATTTTTAGTGAAAATTCATTATCGTCTCTGAAACGTTTTAGCAGCACAGAAAAATATTTTTTTAAATGTATTGGTTTTTATCAATTTTAAGAATACATTTAGCTTTATTCTAAAAAGAAAATAAAAAAAATGTCTATGCAATGCTTTTGCCAAAACAATTAACATAAATATCCGCAAATTGCAACAAATATTCAATTATGCTTCATTACATATGCAATTGATATAAATAAAAGCATATGCTAATAAAAATATGGATTCAATACATATAAATTAGAATGAAAATAGACAACTTAACATTTAAAAAGAATTTTGAATGTACGCTGAGAATACTTTTTAAGAGTATGAACAAATGAAATACAATTTCTTTATAGCACATAATTTATAAATGATGAATATGTTAATGGTTATCAGCCTTGGTTAGAATAGTTACAACTGCTTTGACCTGTTTTTCACACCTGTAAACCAGTTTACAAATCTGTTTTAATATATTCAGTATAACATTATTATCTTCATATGTTGGTTGTTCATCAAGAAAACAACGCTAATTAGCAGCAATTAGCAATTACAGAATACATTAGGAAATGATAAATTATATATATATATATATATAGATTTATCTGCTATTGAATAATGATCAATTAAAATATGACTTTGATTTATTGTATGCACCAGGTTGAGGTGTATTGTTTAACATTGTATGTCCAAAAGACAATTTACACCCCATACATCACACTAAAATTCACTAAAATGGAGTATTTCTGAACTTGAAAACAATCATTAATCGCATCCTAACACAACATTCAATGAGGAATAATTACTGTGCTTTGTTATGTATATCTAACAATAGCCTGATTCTTCTGGTGCTAGATACGTTATCCGACATTACAAATATAAAACTGTACAAAATCCAATATGGATTCCATTGCTCAAAATTTTGTTGAGAAAAGATGAGGTATTATATAATTGATTCAGTCATCTCCAGTTAGCAGAAATTCCACTGGGAAAACCTCTTATATTCTAACTGTTTCACTTAACAAGAGGTTTGGGAGATGACCTAACAATGATTCTATGCTAAAGAACACACCTAGATGAAAATTACATATTCAAACAATTTACATTGATTATGACTGGTAAATCAATATTATTCAATGATGATACCGAAATATTTTGTTATTAATTAAAGAACATTAATACATAACTTGAAATATTTTCTGTGGTTTTATTTAAATATAGCACACAGAAACATAGATATTAGCAGTCATGGCCAGTTTATAATTAACCAAAATCTTTTCTGCTTTGATTAAATGTTATCTTATTTATGAATATAATATTATTTTATACATACAACAAAATAGGTTTTAAAAGGCATCATTCATTGATTCTTATGTGGAATTACACACTCTAATAAACATACAAATCTCACATGTTCCCACACACATCTATAAACTTAACACACAGCAGAACCTCTACACACAGCTAACCCCTACACACAAGCTGACACTCCTACACACAGATAATCCCTAACCCCTACAAACAGCTAAACCCCTACACACAACTGACACCCATGCTTATCAGACACCTCTTCCTCACAAATAAAATCTCCACATACTCGGCAGGTTATACTGTACATCCATGGGCCAGCAATTCTCTGATTGGCTAAAACATGCTCGGCCACTTAAAGATATTATTACATAGTATTTAAAGTGTATTCATCAGCGTAACACATGAGCTCTCACTGGCTAAAGCCAGAGCCTACAACTTATGGGGCTCTCTGATAGTAATCAGCATATTTTTGCAGGATCGTGGGCCCCAAGTCGGCCAAGTGGAGGCCCCTTAAGAAGAAGTAAAATTTTTAGTCTATACTCCACTGGCGTCCAGCATGTCCTGGAGCCTCGGGTAGTAGGGACCAAAGAAGCCTTAGGCAGGAAACTCATGCTTCTTTGTTACTTCACTAGTATATATCTTTTTTAGAGTGGCCAATTTCAGTAGGTTGGCCAATCAGAGAACACACGGCTCAATAATACACTTCTTAATTATTGACACTTGCACACACCTATAAGCACACATCATCACTTAGAATGTGAATTTCATCTCATTTTCTGACCATCTTCTTTGAGCGAGGGCAGCAAACACATGTAGTAAACTTTTACTGAAGACAAGAATAAACCTAGGTTGTTCGATTGTACCTGATGATTTTACAAAGTGAACGTTGCTTGATGTTGAGACATATAGTCTCCAGTAGTATGACATGAACAGGGAATGTATTTCATTGCCAAGTTGCGTAAAAATTTTATACTTAAATTAGAATTGATTCAGAGCTAAAATGACTGAACTTCGTTTTCTACCCATCTTTTCTAAAAGATGTGATATTTAAAGGAAGGTATCCTATGAACAGTGTTGCCAGGTTGTATGCTTGTTTTGCTGAATAATTACCAGGTGGCATTTAGACTCTCTTGACGCTTTGGTGGCGCTACATTGATCTGACGTTCTTGGTCATCTTCATCATCAGAACTTACTTCTGGTTCTGAATCGCTTGTCTGTAAATCAGCCTAAAAACAAAACAAAACAATTTTAGAATTTTTGCTTCTGAAATAATATGAGTTTCTGGATCCCTTCAACATTTCCAGCATTTAATTCAGGAATGTTTTCCTTAAATCTACCAATGAGCACTTCCTTAAAAATATTACTCACTTTCAACAGTTGACATAAACATAAAATCTAATTTAAATAATAATTTTGTAACAATATCTTTCAAGTAAAGGTAAAAGGCAACCTACATTCCATATTTTATTGTTTTCAAGAGCGAGAAAAAAAAATTGGTTTATACAGATGTTGTATATTCACAATATGCATAAAATAAAAGTCTGTTTCCATGGTGACATCTGTGAGATATTATATTCAAATAATTGTAACATGTAATTTGCATAAGTGTGTTCACATACCTGGTATACCTGATCCTTAGAAAATTGCTTCATGACCCGTTTTACCACTTGTTCCTTATCTGACAATCCATCTGACATAATGTTGCCGATGTCGGGGATGTCCGGGGTGTAGCTGAGCCCTCGTCGACCAACTGGACCATCCTTCTCATCATCTAGTCTACACCTAACCTGTGATCCCTTCTTCTCTGTTAGGTTGTCGTCAGTGCTATCATCGGTTTCTACTTGTTTACTATTTAATCTAGAAAAGATAAAGATAACAATGTTTTAAATTAACAAGAATGTTGAAACTAATATTTTAACTCATTATACAAAAAACATGCTTTATATAATCAGAATACTATTACACAAATGCATTATTCAAGCAGAAATGTTACTTACTTAATACTAGATGGTGAGTGTCTTCTTTCCCTGACTGGTGTTTTTAAGTCCTCCTCATCATCACTGCTTGAACTATCACAACTCTGGATGCAAAAATAAAAACACATAAATATGAAGGACTGTGTTCTCACAGACACAGAGACGGATGGACGGACGGACGGACAGACAATGCGACATAACAGCAAGACAGAGAAACATATATCATGCCAGGTATACAGGCAATTACATTAACCATATCTATTAATGTAAATTATAATATGTTATGTATTTTGAGAACTGTTTTCTCTGAAGATTGTAGTATGGTTACCTTTGAATGTGGAATGTTTCGCTGTGATGTCGGACTTCTTCTCGAGCCTCTGAAACTTCCACTCTGCGACCTCCTCATTGGGCTCTCTACAGATTTTGGTGTGGCTAACCTTGACCCTATATAAGTGCTCGGTAAAACATCAGCCTCATTTTCATTGGAATGTGCATGCGAGGATGAGGGCAAAGGATCCGCTGTTGCAGTATTGCTATTCATCTCGTCGCTAATACTGCGACGGTAGCACTGTTTGGATGCAGGTGGGATGTTTAATAGATTCTTTTCATCGCCACGATGCAAACCTTTCGTTGGTTGTTCACCAGGTGAATACTGTTTGCTACAAGAGCGTGAATTGTTCAAGTTATTGGCCACCGTTTGGTCCAGTTCTGGCTGCCTGATGGCAGCATATGGCCCGAAATACTTAAAATTTTCAGTCTGTGTCTGAACTTGTTCGCGAATTTCATCCCCATCTGACGTCATGTCAGTGCAACCGCCGCTCTCCTCATGGCCGCGTTTGTATGAATTTCCCTGCACGATATCTGTTTCTGGGAGCCCTTGGGATAAGTTCTGCATGCTAAGAGGTGAGAGGACAGACTTGCTCCGACTGTTGGTCCTCTTGTGTCGCGTTTTCCGTTGACTGCGTACGCGTGTGGGTGAAACAGTTGTGGAGGTTGATGGAGTGTCCCTCGAGGCTGTAGCTCCTTGTGGTGATAAGTTCTCAGGGCTTTTAAACATATTTGTGTGACTTGGAGAGCCGGAGTAAGTAGCATACCTGAAAAAGTATGTGTACATTTAGTAATAACTTAAACCCACTGATAATCATGAACAAATTAAAATTTGTCTCCACCTTTCTGCTAAATACCTTTCCCCACTGCATAATTCAAACACCTCTCTGGTAAACTTTTCTGCCAATTTTTCCTTCTCCTGGCTAAATATCTCCATTTTTTTGCTAAATATTGCTTCATTTCATAACTAGCTAAACATCATTCTCTCATTCCATATAGCTAATCATCCTTTTCCATATAAGCTTTGCTAAGCATCTATTCCCAATCTCACAGTTCAAACAACTATTCCCAACCTCGTTGAACATTCCTCTACTAACTCTTCATCAAATAACCCTCCCTCAAACTTTAACATTACTTTTGCATAATTAGATGGTAAACTGACCTCGCAAGGTGTGCCTGACCATTAGCCCTCAGACTACGTTGAATGATCTTTTCCATGGTTGGTGTGGTCGCTTTTAATGGAATTTTTCCGCCTTTTTTCTTGTTCTTGTAAACTGTTTGCGCCATCATAGCCTCTTTCCTAAATACAAAACGGAAATCAATTTGTAAGAGGTGTAATTTGAAAAAAAACGAGGTGAAGGAATAGGCATATACAGACACAGAGGTAAGAACTGAGAAAGAAATGTTATTTTACCTGACAAGCTCCAGTTCTCTCTGCTCTAATTGCAGCAGACATGCACTTAGCTCCATGTACAAATTATTGGCCCTTTGCAACTTCTTCTCATAGTGTTCCCGAATATCCTGAGCATGTCTGTCAAACAAATAATAATCTAATATTGATTATAATGATTAAAGATTTCCTTGGCAATAACATTATAGTATTCACAAATATTGGATGAATAATTAACAGTACATTTTTACATTTGTTTATGGTTTATTTTCTTCTCTGTTGTTGTTAAGCACCTCATATAAATCCAGAATTATTATTATTCTTAATTTAATATTGATTTCTTTGAGAATCCAAATATAGAAAAATGTAAGCAACTACAATATGACATGTCATATAAAGCTGGTAGATTTCTTTATTTTATCCATTTAATTTTGTAACTTCTAGAAGTTTTCAATTTAATGTGTCATTCATTTATTCAGCTATTCACTTTACATACATATTTGCATTTTTGGTCTGCACAGGTGTGCAGTTGTTGTTTCATTCAGTTGCAGTTCAGCTGTTCAAGTGAGCAGATTGCTTTGTATGCTTTGTAAATCCACCATTATTTTGCTACCAGCCTGCATCTAACCAGTATATTTTATTCAGGATTATTTTACTTTGGACTTTATTTACTTTACTTTGGATCATTACAAGAGTTAAAGGGAAGTACCAGATTTTCTTTACTAATATTTATTTATGGTGTGAGCTTTGTTATATTCTCATTTAATGGAGAATCTCTCAACTGAAGTTTCAACCAAACTATGTTTACCTTATCTTATGCTTTGGCTTTCCTTTATTATTTAATTGTGTATGTAAATAGCACATGTAAATTCCATCATTTTGCAATGTGAATGTTAGTATAGCTTAAGTGTGTATGTAAATAGAATATGTAAATTCCATCTTATTGCAAGTTCTATGTTTGTATACAGTATTACCAATCAAGCGAAGTTCAAGATGACAAAATTAATTGAATCTTGAATGATGATTCAATATTAAATTCAGTATTACTAATCAACTAAAAAAAAGAAAGCAAAGAAATGTAAGCTTGATTTAAGCCCTTCCGTATTATTCACAGTAATAATACAATTCAGGTATATATAGGATCTGTAATTTAACCCAAGATTTGCTTTGCGTGAATGGAGAATCGTTTGGTCAATATTTTCAACGTGATTAGAGTAGGCAAGGCTGTGAACGAGTCTCATTAATTCCATCGTTATTATAACTCCTATCAATTTTAAATCTTGTTAATCAAGCTACTTCAAGGTTGTCGCCAACCTTGATAATTCCAATTTAGTTATCAAAATCAACCTCCATCAACCTACTTAATATGCTGTGTTAAAGCGCAGCTCACCAATTTATGCAGAGTCTGCTTTTTGCTTGTGCTTATAACGCTCATTATATATTACTTGATGGAGATAGTTGAGCCCCTATGGCCAATCAAACCACTTTTTGTCTAACAAGATCATCAGACACATATATTCAGATATCACGGTAAAAAATTATGATTGTGGAATGATATTGACCTGAGTTCATCTCGGCGACGTCTGATCAGATCCTCATCCATCCGTTGTAGCTGGGTTCCTTCACTTTTCATTTTCTCAAATTGCAACTTGATTTCCACCCTCCAGTCAACCTGTAAGAAAAAAATTAATACCTCTGTCAGAAGCAACTCAATGCAGAAATAAATCATGACTTCAACGTTAATCAAACATAGACATAACTAAATGCGCCAACTAGATCTGGCGCCAGCTGAACGGTAGACTCCATCACCCAAGGCATTATGGCATGCTTGGCACATGCTCCAACTGAATGATAATCTTATGAATGAATAGCAAAGAGAAAGAATAGACGTATGCCATCTGAAACCAAATTTAAAAAGCATCTCAGCATGTTTCAAGTCTTAAATACTAAGAGTGTTTTTTTCCATATGATAATGAAATCAAATACAAATAATGGAGATATATACACGAGGAAGCTAAAAGAAGAGTAATCTTTCTTAATTGGAACAGAAATTTAAAAAACAATCATCAATCATTTAAGGAATCTGGTTTCATTCATTTTCAATCCAGAAAATCTGTCTGCAACTAAATCTGACAGAAATTTAAAGCTTATATTTAGTTCCACAAGAATACACTTTAAGTAGAACTCTTTAAATAATTTAAATAATATTTATTTAAATAGTTTTCCCTGAAAGTTCATATCAGCTTCATTTGGTGAGTCAAGAAAACCCTGAAAATGGTTACAACTAACAAATGATAGTTAATAAGTATAAAAACATAAACAATAATGGTACATATATTTCTAGGTCAGTAGGTTAAATTTAGTTTTCTATGAAGTTTAGTTTAGTCTTGTTAGTAATGATCCAAGGTTGATCTATTGTCATACTTTCTGATTTTCATTGTACATCATATTCTTGCATATTTTGGGAATGTCCAATATAACAGTGGCTAAGTTGACCTATTAGAATAGATTTTGAAATTTTTTTTCTCTACAACACATATAGACCATGTATTATGACTTATATTAGTCCCCAGCCATTACCAGTTATATTTATTATACATTATTACATTGGGAAGGAATAATAATGGACATTTTTTTATAATTAATATAATATACTAATAAGCACAGTAATTAAGGTTGCAACACACACTTTGAAATATAGTATGGAAGGAAAAATTGAGAAAAATTCAACCAGGGATAACCAAGAAAAAATGTAGAGACAATTTAAAATAAAGGTTAGGTGATGTTCTTCATTACAAGTATTCTTACCTGTTTATCAAAGTAGGCCTCTTGCGGAGTTGAGAGGAAGTCAGCAGCCGCGATATCAATATGCATCAGTATCTGCCGAAATGACGGCCTGTTGTTGGGCTTAGCATTCCTAATGAGGAAAGATAAGAACTCTTCAACATCAAGGCAATAAGTTAAAGAGGCAACGGGGACGAAAAAATGCTAGTGGAACAAATTACAAAATTGCAAACAGGACTCGCACCAAGAAATCAGAGACTAACGAGATACAATTAAACATGAAATTGCTTTTTAGGATGTAGAAAATATGTTAAAGACTTTTATGCTAGCTATTCCGGTATATTTTTATCCAGGTATATCTTGCACATATTTATTTTTTTCACCTGTTTTTATGGCAAATGAAATGATACATGCCATTAAAAGTATTACTCCCTCAAGAGATCTTTAAAGTGTTACAATAAAATATATGATTTTTTCATGTACGGTACGATATAAAAACAACACGTTCGTACCAGCACTGCTTCATAAGGAGCTTGAACCCATCTGGACAAGTAGACGGAATGGGCAACTGTAGACTGTTGCTACCCACACCCCAGATGATTGCAGATGAGTCCACATCCTACAAGAAAAAAAAATCAAGAAGTCATGAGACATGGGGTATATTATTTTATATATCCAGAAAGAGCTGTGTGCGTAAAAAAATATAAGAAAGATAGGTTGAGGATAGCAACACAAAATTTAACCAAGCAGCTATAAATCACATTACTGTCTAAAATTCAGCATAACACCATAATAATGCGTGTTTGCCCTTTTAATATAAAACATATACAAAATGACAAAAATTAATTCAATGTTTGCTAAAATTACAGACAGAATACTTTAAAGCAACTTGTGTTTAGTAAAATCAAAACAGTATTATAATTTAAGATTGTGTTTAGCAGTGTTTAAAGTATCCATATTGTTCTGTTAATTGAACTGGGATCTTCTCAGTATTATGCTAGTGCGCACGTACAACCATGAATTATATGTCAAGAATTGTTTATATTCAACGGAAACTAGCATAAACCATTGCTCGCTTCTTCTTAATTAAAATCCATTGATCTTTGTCATTTGCTCGTTAATTCTCCAGTTCATTACAAAAGATGGAACATTCTTTCCACTGTATATAACCATATAGAATTTCACTACAGTGAGTGGAAACTTTGAATGAATTGACTCGTCAGATATGTTCTCTTAGGAATTTGCACCATGCAAGAGTTTGTGGTCATTACCAATACTCAAATAATACTATTATGCAACTCTTTATGAAAATAATAGTTTCAGATATTTCTAATTATTGTATAAATTTTGTTATATATTAGGTTATTAATAATCTGAACATATAACAAGGTCAGTTTACTATTAAATATTTAGGTGTCTTAGATATTAACATTTATACACTAATAATATAATAATACTAATAAATAATTTATTTCAACATTAAATACTTTGATTCATTAAGGGTGTTTTCATCAAGGCCATGCAAAGCCATAAATATAAGTGGTCTTAAATGTACAAAAAATTAATACAAACACACAAAGAAGTAATTAAATATCAAAAAACAGAAGGTTAAGGAAAACATTACATATTTAAAAATCATCATATAGTATAATAAACCAGGTGTGTAAACTGTTAAAATTTTATATTCCTGTGTGCCTTGTATCTAATCCCTAAACATTCAAAGTAGAAATACTAATGTACACGTTACAACTGTTCAGACAACTTCTGTATGATCATAACTATTCCTACGAGTTTTTTCCCCCTTGCTGCACTTATGAACTTACATACATGACATTCCCCTTCCTCAATCCAACTTAATTCAGAAATGAGATTGTTTATAACAAGCGTGTTTAATGATTACTGAAGCTTCTAATCCACATAGGAGTAGTATCGCAGTGATCATAACTGTGTTTTGCTTTAAGAGCTAGATATTGATTCATTGCCAAAGTTAACACTAGGTTTTTGCTGTCACAACAAATGTGGGTATTTAAACAACATGACATTTTCAAAATTTATTCATTTCATCACTTCAATTTCATTAGTGTAATTTTGGTCATTTGCAAAAAAATATTTAACATACTGTAGGAGACTATGGTAATTATACATAAACATAAATATTTTTCAATTAATATAATTTTTATTTCATCCTTAATATTCCCATCATCTTATTATTTACATTAATTATTAATCATTTGTATTAATAATATCCTCTTTTCAAATTTCATAAATGAAAATATAATATAATGTTTGTTCCAAAATATAAATAAAATATGATATTAAATACATAATTATTAAATACCAATAAATAAGTTAATAAATGCTTGAAATACCAAAAATCTAAATACTAAAGTGTCATCACTAAAAATAATTAGAAGGATGATACTGTTATTAGTAATAATACATGAGAGATGTCATAAGAATCAATTAGTAGCCATGGTTACCATACCTTATATGGCATTTCGCCCGTCAACAATTCCCAAAGTACTACGCCAAATGACCAAACATCTACTTTCTCGGAACACGGCTCATTGCGAATTACCTCGGGAGCCATCCACGCCACTGTACCAGCAAACGACATCTTTGTGCTCTTCTCATTAATTTGCCGGCTCGTTCCAAAATCAGATATCTTTACAACGTCATTATTTGCAACTAAAACACTATAATTATTTAAATGAATAATAGAAATTACATATAATTTGTGTTAGATATCCAGTATTTAAAAGATGACATATGGCTAATATGCATTCAAGGTAGCACACAGGAGGCTACAGTAGGTGAAAAATATGAACATATGGACAGAATTAAAATAATAAAATGAGTTAAAAATCCACCTTAGTACATAAAAGGGTATAATAATGAAATAATACTAATTTGTTTGCATATTTAGTGTTTTTTGATGTCTAAATGTCTCAAGTATTTCCATATAGCCATTGGGAACAGCTAAGCAATCACATCCAATATGCCACCCTCTTTACTCTCTAAGGAGCATTCCCAATCATGCATCAATATATACAGCTAAGACCAAATACATTCAACATAGACTGTTCGCTTTGAGTTTATAAAGCCTGTTTTGCACCAGGCTGAATTTATTGGCACAAATCAAAAGCGTCGGTTTGCTTCCTGAGCTCTGATTGTTTGCGCATTTTTTTCGCTTCGCAAAAAGTAGAAACAGTTCAACCTACTGATTTCGCTGAAGCCAAAAATTTCCAATAGAAATATGAATAAATTTGCCTAGGGAAAAACAGGCTTAATGTGAGTTGGAAAAGGAGAACCACAACACAAATCAAAATAACAAGAACTTAGGAATAGGATGGATTGATAACGTGACCGTCTTGAGATCTTTGCACAATGTAAATTTGCTTAAAACCATGCTTTAAAATGTAGAGGACATCATAGCATTTACATATAGCATATGCATTTATGTGACAGTATTACATGTGCAATTTAACCTCCCTATAAATAATTTTTTTTTTTGTTAACTTACTTCGGAGATTTGAGATCACGATGCAAGATTTTGTGGCAGTGGAGGTAGTGCATTCCGGTCGCTATTTGTTTGGTCCAATCCACCATTAACTTCGGTGGGATTTCCCGGCCTTCCCGCAGGACTTCATACAACTGTCCGTACGGACAATATTCCATAATAATACAAAAGCACGGAGCCTGAGTACTAACACCCCTATAGAATAAAAATTACATTCATAGTATTATTTATTTTATTTATTTTTATTTATTTACTATCCCAGCCAACAGCAAATATAAAATTCGCCACTTACAGGAGGGAACACAAACATCAAACGGATACATAAATATAGTAAACGTGAAGAATACAAAAACAATAATATATACTAAAAATAATATAGTACAAATAATAATAATAATAATAATAATATATATATTTGTACAAGTCATCCCCCTCTAATTAAAGACTCCTCCAATTAAAGACCACCTCTAATTAAAGATCACATTTCTGTGGTCCTAAATTAACAAAATAACATCCTTTATCTTTATTATTCTAATTAGAGACCAAAGTTTTGAAAGACCATGAAAACCCCGGTCCCAAAAGTGATCTTTAGTTGGAAGGAGACTTGTATTTCCAAGTTGTCACAGTTATGGTTGACACACACAGCTTTTATGCTCAAACATTTGCCTCTCTACGTTTTTATGACCCATCTACAAATTCCTTTAAGAATTTATTTCCCCACATTTTGATTATAAGATACAACTACTTTGAATATTAGATGTTTCTTACCTAATGGCCACTAGATTTGGATGGTTTAACCTTCGAAGATGCTTCAAATCCGTTTCCTTCTCATCTCTGACTTTCTTCACAGCAACTTGGTTTCCCCTGAGCGTGCCCAAAAACACCGCCCCCTGAGCCCCACTCCCTAGCCATTGTAGACCACGAATATCTTCAAATGGTATCTCCCAATCATCTGAAAATAGATCCAAAAAATTAACCACGATAAATAAAAATCAATAATTAATCAGTCTATTATACATCATCTATAAAAACTAATCATTATTTTATCATCTGTTACTATTATCTTTAAGCATGTCATGATCATAATTTATAATAGTTTATAATAGATATGTTTAATAACATATGTTAAATATAGCTTCATGTTTGTCACCTTCAGAAATCAATAAAACTTCAATTCTAACCTCGGGCAAGCTTCTCAGCGACAGCAGCTTTACCAATGATTGTCCACACTGGGCGTAAACATCCCCAAAGGCCCTGTAAGAACCCTCGTCGCTGATTTCCATTTATGGCTACTTGAACGCCATTGGTCAAAGCATTGTTGTTATTAGTTGGGGGTGGAATCGAAGACGTAGTTTCTGATTTGATAATCGGTCTCGGTGAGCTAAGGTCGATGTCTTCACCATCTTCTAATGAGAGCACACTGCAAGAAAATGAATCATTCAAAAAGATTATAGATAAAAAGTGCAGTTTGTAGCTCGGATCAATGCAAAAAAATTAAAATTCTTAATGGATTTTCAGTATATAATAATTTATATGCAATATGTTGAAAAGAATAAAAAAAACCATGAAGAATAAAATAAATAACATAACAAAATTAACAATAACATATATCTTACTGTCATAAAACATAAACATTTTTTTCCTTAATTTATAAAGAGGTTAATAATAATTTCATATTAGAAATATTAAAATACCAGCAAGATAATTATCATATTAATAAGCTAATTCAAACAATAACCATGTGGAATTGTAATCACATGTAGCTGTATGGAAAATCCTCTGCTATCACTCATTAGCCAATAGCAGTTAATGAAAATGTGGGTGTGTCCGGTTTTCATGAAACTATGACCAAATGTCAATAATGTATCTGCTGATGAATGTGATTAAAAGAAATTATATTTTTGAATGCAAATTGGCATTAAAATGATAAAATAGAATACACTCAAAAAGATTACATGAAGATTACCAAGTTAATGTATTTGTTATATCCAAAATGTAAATTTAATATCATACATGTAACTATAGTAACTGTAACTAATAAACATTAAATACCTAAGCACAGAAAAATTAACCTTTTATGCATATAATACAACATAAACATACCGGCAAGCACATATGGGAGTTTTAAAGTGTACAATTACAATTTGTTAAAAAAAAACCCTTTAGGCTACGAGTGATTAACGTTCATACTCTCCATACGATTAGGATTACGCGCCAATTACTGGTCACATGATTCAAAGTTGTGGAATTGAGCCAGTTAATTAGGAACTGTCAGTAACGAACACCATCTAGGTTCTTGGATATATGTACAGGGAATGTTAGTCAGATATTAACATTTATGATTGTCTTTAGCGTATAGTTGAACAACATAGGATTTTGAAACGTGACACTTTTGTTAGATTTCTTTTTTTTTTAGTACGTTATCAGTTGGCAGTTCAAGACATAACAAAACCAAATCCAAAAATCACTATAAAGATATTCCCACAGTACCTTAGATCAACAACAGCAACCTTACACCACACTTATTCATACTTCAATATGTACACTCTAAATCAAGTCAAAATTTATGCAAGAATAGGTAATGCTCAACGATAATGGTCTCTGATGCCTCAAAGAAGATCGATTGTCATTCAAAAACACTTTGTAAGAATCCCACAGGCAACACTCTCGCGGCACGACTGGTCAACCAGAAGATCCCGTCAACATGTGGCCAATTCTGACTATCATATGATTATAACCTCATAAATATCTTAGTGGAGTTTAACTGCGCATTACTTCGGTATCAACCACTTGATTTATCTGCACTTCTAGTATAATATTAACGATATGTGTAATTCATTTTGCTGAATCTTTTCAATGCCAACATGTTCACTGTTTCATATCAATACATTTTAAATGCCAAATTCTTAATTCACACTATTGTACAACAACTGCAACATCTCTGTACTGATTGCATTATCCCTCTCTCCTAACTGTTGCACTCCTAAACTGTATATTGCACTGTAACCAGACCATTTTACTCCTAATCTAATACAACACTCCTAACTTGTTTCATTCATAGCTTGACTGTTAACCCAACAAATTAATCAATGTTATAGCATTCTTAACCTGACTGTTGCACCCCCCATTCAGACTGTTGCATTTTGGACCTGACTATAGCACATATCCTTCAACTATCGCTCCATTACTCTATTTTGCCATCGATTATCTGACAATAGTAAGATATCTCTGCTACTCAATCTTTTTACTAGCCTGTTAGTGTGATATTGATCATTATGTCCTTTATATGCCATCATTATTTCATCATTTTATTATTACTTTTTTTAATATATATTTCAATATTTTATCCTAGTACATCATCTTGATTAAAAACATAGCAAATAACTGTTTTAACTTTTATCCAGGTATTTACCAGGCTTTTATCATTATTATTTTTTTTTTTTTCAAATGTCAGATATTTTTGACATGGTTATTAGAGCAATGTAGTCGTTATTTTGAGGGAAAAAACATCACAATACTCTAGAGCATGGCATCAATATGACAATGTTAATTATTCATGAAAGCATTAATACTGTATGCATATAGAGTTGTGCTTGGATGTGTGATTTATGTCTTAGAAACACTGCACTTGCAAACGATTACATTACATTTGAAATATTTTTTCATTAGTTAGAATACATAAGGATCTGAGGCAACTGATAGTAAACCACTGAAGCAGGCCATTCAGTTTAAATAAGAATAACATGAAATTTAATAAATCATTATCATTCCGCATCATTATAGGTGAATAAAAAATATATGAAATTAAGGAATATATGCCTACTGATATCAAAATAAAAATAAATCACAACAAATTTTGAAACTATCTAAGTTAAATTTAGGCTAAAATACATTCAATACAGTCATCTATAGTTCTTTCCTGGGTAAATATCATCTACAGTATAGAAGGAACCATGCATACAGTGTTAGTAGCCTAAATGAAGACTCCTCTTAATTTATTCAGTGCCTATGATAGATGAAGAGTTAATTCTATCAGATATAAGAGTAGATCTCAGCATAATTATGCTAGCTTCTGATTGGCTGACAGTTCACTATGCATAATGCTTAAATATTCTTGGAAGAACTCATTGAAATGACCTACTTTTAACCAAGTCTTTTGTCAAACTACTTCTTGGGATTTTTTAGCCTCCAGTAGAGAGTTTAAAATATATGAAGTGATATAAACATAATAAAGAAATTGGTAATTTGTAACCTCAAACATATTCTGAAAAGCTGCACCGTACTATACTTCTTAATACAACTATTGCACAATATTTATATCTTAGAAAATTGTTATTTACGAAGAATTTGTAACTTTAAACAAATTTGGGGAAAAAATCCATAGTACTTACTTATCATATACTGTACAATACATCTTACTTGAAGAGTTTATATTTATTTTTTTTAAATAGGTCTATATAAAATATGCAGTACTGTACTTGAGACTACACATTGAAATTTAACACTAACACCATACAGAATGTATAGATATTACACAGTGTAGTCAAAAGAAAATTATTAAGTACTGTTCACAAACATTGTTGTCTGGCATAAGGTATTATACTTTCATCAGATGTATTAATACTGTATAATTAATTCAGTCAACACTGTAGGCCTATCACCTTTCAAGATTTATATAAAATGATGATGGCCTATGGTTTTAATGTAAGTGCAAGAGCAATAAACATTATATGTGTACTTTGTTTTATTTATTTCTACAGTATGCAGACATTTCCAGTTATTGTTTTAGCAACTTTTATTATCTTTAATGATATAATAATTATAAATATGCTGGTAATGATGAATGCTGATGATGACAATGACAACAATGATGATGATTTTGAAGGTAAGTAGAAATATAACATAATCATAATCACAGAGTATCACTAGCCTTGCATACTGACTAGATGCGTCACCCGCATCAAGTGAGAAGTCTGTGAATCAGAGACGTTAATAAGAGGAATAATTAAAAGATGACATTTAGATGCCCTCTTTCAATCCACCTGTATGCAGTGATTCACTCACCTGCATTAAGCTATCATTCATCTTCACTTTTTTATTTGAGACTTTTCTTTATAAACCTGCTAATTGTTTGATATATTTCATCATCAAAGTCAGAAAAACTGGGTATAATTTTGTATGTTTCATAATTCTATTTACTTAATATATATAAGTAGTATAAATCATAGACAGTATATACACATAACATATACTTTATTTTAGAAATAATGTCCATATGTTACAAAGCAAATATTAAGCACATACAGTAATGTACAGTGTAGCGATGTATTTAGTGGCATTAGCCTATCTGTTTCCTTTTTGACTATCCCAAAATAACCAACAACCAAACCCTAATGAACTAGCATCCCACACAGAGCTTTAAAACAGTCTGATTTGGTAGTTTTTTTCAAGATTAATGTTAAATAATCACCTTATATGGTATGATTGCCACTCATCTTTCAGTAAGGTGTTAGCCGATATACACCGACCTAACAGCAGATGTTAAATGTTAAAGTTCAGATATCAAATGACCCAATAAGTGTAGAATAAACATTCGGCACGAGTGATCTACCAAACACGTGTGGAAGAAAACCCTCCCTCAGACACCAAAGACACCCGACGAGGTGTAAAGATGAAAAGATGACCGACAAAAACTAACCCTATGCTATAATTGACTTCAGTAAACAACAAAGTGAAAGTTGAAATCCAAGTCAGCTCAACAGGCGAACAATTACCAGTAACCACAAACAAAGGCTTCCAGTGGTAGTAGTAGCAGCAATCAGGCCTGAACTTGTCGGCTTTATTCTTTTTGGAAGACAGGCTGGAAGACAGGCTTGCTGCTAATGAATGCCTCAAATCAACAAGAAGTTAATAGAAACCTTCCAAAAATACCAACTGATAAAATCTTATTTTTTACTCATAATGTGACCTTTATCGACCTTTATCTTATCTAATCCAAATATACCAAGTTTGTTAAATAGATTAGTGACTCATCCCTTATATATTATCAATGGTATTATTTTTTTTTTAGACCCCCCTCCTGTTTAAATTGACACTATAGCAATAAAGTCACACCAACCTATAATGTTTTTGCTAATCTAAAATTAGCTTGTGTGGTGTATTCATATAGGGACATCCATGCAGTTTTGGCAATCAACACAACAAAGATTTAGACTTTAAGTAGAGTGTTTTACGGTGGATTACACGAACCATTTGACTTTAAGTCCGCGAAGGACATAAATGGATATAAGGAACTTACTGTAAAACAGGATCTTATAGTTGTCATAATAATACAAAAAAAAAAACCATTTATAAAGCCAAAAATAATTTGTTATATTCCACATGATCTGTGACATTGGGAAATTTTGGTTATTTTATCGAAAGTTGTTTTTTTAAATAGACCTATAGGTTCACTGTCAACCACTACTCATCCCATGGTTGATAAAATCCTCAAAACAACATAAACATTTTTTTACTGGAGCCTAAAATTTATTAGAATATAAAATGAGGTACTGTTGCTATTGTAGAGGTTGAAGTTTAAAAAAAAAATCCTTGACAGGATTTATACTAAATGTCACAATTATCGATTTTCCCCTACAATGAGTAATGAAGTCTATCTGCTTCAAATCAAAGTTTTTAATGTAATCTTTTAACATGCACGAAAGATCCCTGTATTTTTTTTTTTGTCTGTCTCTCAGTCTTTCATTCTTAATCCCTTGTTCCGTTGTTTGTTGACACCAATTTCATCATGAGTTGATCCAGATCCGGTGACCCAATAATATTATCTGCTAAACTTAATAAATTAATATCATGTCAATCACCTGAAGCAATTCCATTCTAAGGCAATAGTTGTCTTTCTTTCTTTTCTTTTTTTTAGACAAATACTATACTGTGTAGGCTTATAACGATGATGTTTGGATATGTGGATATTTAAAGTTTAAAAAAACAGTGGCCCAAAAAGAAGAAAAGATTACTTTTGACCTGAACATTACAAACTAGATATTTGATGTGTATAGAGAAGGAAACAAAATAAAAAGAGCAAGTTTATAGTATTTTTCTTTTCTAAATTTTTGTTCAATTATGACATTTTCAATGCAAACCATCATTATTCTGTTATGTATGTGTCCATTAATTAGGTTTAAATATGTATTGTCCCATGCTAAATACCAAAAAAAATCATAAAAATATTTTTTTGAAATTAACTTTCCCATTTTGAAGTAACATAAAAGTTATCAACTTAAACATAGAAATTAGTGTATTTTAAAAATGTCTACACATCAGTTTACAGTGAAAAATGATAGATCATTTTAATTAATACTTTTTTGGTTTAAAAATAAGGGTACACATTTTTTAAATTCAATAATTTTTATGCTATTGCAATATGAGCAAGTTTATTTCAAAATCATTTTTTATGATTTTTTGACAATAGCAAGGGACAATACATCTTTAAGCCTATACTGTAAATATCATGAAATGGCATGAAATAAATGGTACGAAAGTACAACTGAAATTAATTAACTGATTATTGGTTTTTATTTTTTTAAATATTCTAATTATATACATTACCAAACATATAACTACACAGGCCCTATAAAATAGGGTGTCTGTGATATATGTAACTTTATACTACTATACTAGATTGTAATCAATACTAATCCTTGGGGCTGGTAGGTGATAATCTGTTTTGTTGTGATATACTAACCATGTATGGATGAGTCATCCATACAGGACAGGTTTTAAAAAGCGGCTACCTTGTGTATGTACCATACCCTTGATTGATGCGTCCTATCTTAGTTCAAAGTCCCGTCTCTAAGCACATGTGACGTGACATACGATGCATACGTTGACCAGATCCTCCTCTCTGTAGCATACGACATGAAGTAAGGGGTTGGTCATACATAGATAATTGAAATCAACTATAGGCAAACCCCATGGGTAGTATATTGGATTTTGACAGCTTGATCTAATCTTGATGTAGCAAATCATAGTTATACCCTGTACATACTAATTTTAAAACCATGTTTCAATGACAAAACTATTATATTACACCTTCTGATCACATCATTGGTGCAGAATAGTTACTTCCGAAATCTGCTAGTTTTATTTTCAAATAAAACTAATGGTAATGCATTTTTTCTCTTGTTTTTGTGTCTCTATTTTTCTCTTTTCCAATGATCCGATCTTAAAATTATCTGGCTTTAGGCCTACAAAAATGCATAGTATAGTTTTCAATGAAATATATGCATTGAGTAAGAATTACTAGCAGCAGCTATTCTGTATTCAAATACATGATTTGTATTTTGAGTATTTTTATATCAAAAAGAAACAAAAATGAATTCTTCATATATTTATCATTTTCACCATGTAAATCAGTTACATGATGAAAATGTATTTAATCAATCTTTATTCAATGAAGTATTTACTCTTTTATCCAATTATATTGGTCTTATAAACATATAGGCTATAGTTCAAAATACAAATTTGGTGATGAAATACTATCCTTACCTAGATACCTAGGCTATATTGAAGTTAGTGATGCAATAAAAGTGACAGAGATCTAACGCTCTATAAAGTTTTAATTTATGAGTTGCGGGGAATATGATTTGAACCCAGGAACCAGAGATTGGGAGATACGCTTTATTACCTTTACCACCAATAAACCAGTCTAGGCCTGATATGTTTCTTTCTCTTGTACTCTTCAGATGCACATGCCAGATATATTTAGCCAAGTGACCCCTTTTGCTAAAGGTGAACGCTCAACAAAAACACCATTGTTCGCCAAATTACCTACTTTTCTTCTTTATCAGGTGATAAAATCAATTTTTTACTTATCAACAACTATCAAATGAACATACAAGTGCTTATGACAGTTGTTAAGAGTTTTCTTTATAAATCGCAGGGATTTTTATGCACAATACCTATTATATTAAATTTATTGTATCATTGTTAAAATGTCAATTAGAAGACAGATCAAACTGTGGGATACTTCAACTTTAAACAACAGTTCATTGTGGCATGATCGGAGTAAATTCTAAACAAGGCTACATGGATTTCTTTGTATTGTCCAAGTTAACAATTGTGCCAACTGGTGAACAGACACAGACAAAATTGTGGTTACATTGAATATGAAAGAGTACTGAATGAAAAGAGCTTAAATTGCAATGAATACTAACGCTTAGATATGAAATGATGAAGCAATTGTTACAAATTGGTTAGGTTGTTTGAAAGAAAACGTATTTTACTAGCGTCTAATAAGAAATTTACTGAAAAGGCGTAAAAACTAGGATTGTACTGTATTCACAGACAATATAAAATTGAATACGTGATACAGTGTAGGAATCACCGTTTACAATTGAAATATTAAGTATCTAACTATTTAATGACAGAACAAAGGCACTGAAAATATATAATTGACAGCTGTATACAGCTGTAAAGCAATGTACAAAAGAAGCAAAGGACAAGCACTGTGTTGCTTGTTGCTCGTTGTAAAGCAATCAGACAACACTGATAATAAATCATACATACAACCTGTAATTGAAACTTAAATTAGGCACAACCAACAATGCCACGTTTTTTCCCAGCACCAGAGTTGAAAAGGACATAGACAACCTGAGGCATAATAGATTGTTGGGGAACAAACTAAGGGGTGAAGAACCCCACCTTTGTAAACAATCCCAAAAGCAGAGGTCCTTATCCAACAAAAACATTGTTACTTTCCTTTGAAAAATCTGTTGAAATTTAGCATGTCGTTTGTGGAACCTTATTGAAAGATAACAATCTAACATAATAACGGTTTAGATTACAATAATCTGAAACCTGAGATTTGTTATAAGCAAAGCACTTAAATTCCTTATTCTGTGGTTTTTACAGTAGATTATATTTTGTGGGGGGGGGGGGGGAGAGGGAAGGACATTCCAGATAGCAGCATATCCTATGACATGGGTTTTCAACAATTTGTAGATCTCTTCCAACAATGTTCCAAATTTTTATATTATCTTTTTGTAATTAGCTACATAGTATATTAACTATGATTCTATAATTAGATAATTAAAACATAAGGATGAGTAAATGGAATTAAATAATGTTGAAACTTTTTGATTATTAATCATCATATGAAATGAAAACATATAATGATTAATATCATATATTGATTATTAATCATTATATGATATGCTCTTTTTTATTTCATTCAATTGATTAAAAATTTTTATTGAATTTTTATTTTTATCGAAATGTGTAGAGGAACATTGTTAGTGAAAAGGAATATTCATAAGGATAAATAGCATGTATCATTCTAATTAACATACAATGAATATGTTTTTCAAAAAAGCAAACTGTAAAATTCTAGATTTATTAATATAATACTCAGAAATTGTATAGAAATTCAGTTAATAGTTTTTTTTTAAACATTTCTCTTAATAGTTTTGTTCAAAATGCATCTAGTAGTGGAAGCTGTTTCTAATTTATGGTTTACCTAGTTTTCTGGAATTTTCCAGGAAATCAATTTATTTTTTATGCTTTTTGACTGCAACTGTGGTAATACCCTGATTAATTGCGTGATTCGTGAGTGCCTAAATCAAGGCCTTGCACTCAATTTTACAGTATATGTTGTATCATGCAATCGCCTGTAAAATGTTATGTATTAATGCCATGATGGACACACCTCAAAAAGAGAAAATAAATGAATATTGAACTGCCCTACCTATGACGAAAATAATAAATAACAAATAACTTACCTATTTGCAAACTCTCCAGTACTAACGTTAGCATTGATATTCTTAGTAACGTTAAGTTTAGCTGGGCTATTGCGACTATTTAGTGGTACATCCTTCGGTAAACTGTTACGATCCGAAATTGAGAGTGTTGCAGCAGAGGCCATATTGGTATCTATATGCATCGATCGGTGCCTATAAGCAATTGATTTGTATCTGTATGCATTGATTGCGGCAACATAAGCTTATTCTTTATCTGCAAGGTCTAGAAGCTGAGGAATAAGGAATCATGAAACATTAAAATATGTTTATTATGTACTGTACCAAAAAAAAAAAAGGGGAAAAAAAGCATCTTTTATCTATCAATTGGTTCTTCCTTTTAGAATTTTGGTTCAATCTAAAATCACAAGTTTTCATAAATTTCGTTGAAATTTCTAGACCCAAATCAAAACATCCAAATCAACATAATTTAGTCATTACCTTATAAATAATAATGGTAATCAACTGCATACACCAACTAATGCCATTCCACATAATCACAATGAATTGAAACATTATTTATTATAATGTTCTATGTAATTTACAATAAACAAAACATTAAAACACATTGTCCAACATTTCCAAGAATTTTCCCACTTTCAAGGTCCTGGAAAACACACAAATATTTTGAACCACAAATTTCAGTGACTTTCGTAAAGCCATATAAAATCTTTACCTTTTTTAGATAGAAATGTTTTTCAAATATACTATGTATTACACAGGCAGAGTTGTCTGAAAACTCAAATTCAGTACATAAATAGAAACAATTTAAATTACAACAATGAGAATAATATAACGCAATTTATATAATTATTATATAAAAAATGTGTACATAACAAATTAGTATTTGTTCAATAATTGGTAGCACACGCTCTATTGATGAGAATCCATTAAATTATTAATCTTTGAATAAATAAATAAAATACCAGGTCTGGTCACTACAAACAAATTATGTTATCATTAGGAATTCTGACTATTAAATTTGTATAAGGTTAATGTCCTACACTACAAAGTAGACCAGGTCGATGACATCCCTAACAGAAGACAAAAACCTACATAAACACTGAACCAGAATTCTTCAATTTTGTTTACTATTTAGGCAATGTCTGCAAAACTGCCGCCAAGGTACCCTGGACAGGGCCCTGCAAATACTGCGGTTTAACATTTATGGTGATGCTAAAATAAAGGACTATACAGCTATGTTGCCCTGATGATGATATTTGTATTGTCGTCATAGCAGTATTTACTATAGATAAAAGTTCTTCTGCAATTACTTAATGATTTCCACTTTCATAACCACACAATTGGATTTTTTCAGGGCGTTTTCCAGAGGTTTTCTTTTCAGATTTTTTTTTTTTAAATTTTGTGACACGTTTATCAGTTGAGAGAGGTACTAGCGATTTATTTCTAATTTGTATTTCTGATTGCTTTCATTAATTGAATTATAAAATAACCTATTGAATGCGTAATATATGATGCCCATTGGGTAGGATCACTACATAAATGCCTACATTATTATTAATTTCACATTACTAATAATGTATTATTTGAAAACTAGTATCATCAATGAATTTTAATAACTGAGAATAAAATGATTGACATATCGGACTTCAGGAATAATTAAGTGCTATATTAGGGGTATTAAACTTCATTAAATTATTTCTCTAAATTTAAACATCCCTTCCCCAAGTAAACATAACAGCAAATTTACATTTTTTTTTTTTTTATTCCTTAAATATCCAACAACATAACTTGCTAATTACAGGATGGAATCATATTTATAGAAACTCTCTTTGTGAAGCTTATGGTCATAAGAAAAAAATCACTGAATTGACCCTTGGAATGGAAAAAATGCACCTTTAATTACCAAGCTATTTAGCTCAAGTAAAAACATAATAAAAGCAACCTCAGACAGATTTTCAGATCTTTCAGATACCTGTTGTTACTTGTTCACAATTTATTTTATTTTAAATTAATAATGCACACGCATAATCTAACCATCATATTTTATAACAAAGTATGTTATGGAATTGCAGGTTTTTCTGGAAATGCATATTCAACTAGGCCTGTATAGTTAAAATGGCATGCAATATAAATCCAGTGTTGCAACCACCAGCATAAAACATTCTCAAAAACTGACAATCATAAACAATATAATAGCCTCTTGCTTCCTTTTAAAAAAAAAAGTTGACAAGAAAGATTTACACTTGGTTTTATGAAATACCTATAATCATCTATCATTTTTTTATTTTTAAAAACAAAATTTAGTTTGACGATGGTATGAGAAAACAAATTTTAATTAATGTGTATAAAAAAAAATGTTAAAATTATTCCTATGGCTAATTTTAACTCAATTATGTTGCAATTTTTCACTTTCATGTTGTAACTTCACACAATTCTTTCTTTTAATACAGCAAGGCAGACACATAAGTTGTTTCAGAAATTTACCAGCAGACAACTTTGCATACAAAGTAGTTTTAAATGACAATATTAACCAGCTGCAGTTCACTGCGGCTTCTCTTTCACTTTTACTGCAGCAAAAATGACACGCAAGTATAAATTGCAAGCGGAATTAGCATAATTTGATGATTAAAGACGGCAAAGTGTATTAAGCATATGTATTCATTACTCCTCAATATCGTTCAAAAAGTAACCTTCGTTTTCCATGGCGGCACAGGTTGGCTACAGATGGGATGCCACTTTTCCACTGCACACTGACTGGGGCCAAATCACAAAGAATATGCTAGCTTTAAGATCTTACACCTAATTCCAAGTATTCCTACGTGGCTAGTCAACACCAAAATCTTTATATTATTTCTTCACTTACATCACCTACACTGTGTGGGAAAACCACCATAGCCTATTTTTAAGTATGTACTTTTCAGTGTGGTCAAATGTAAAAATCAATTCACAACACCCTGGACCAAATAATAAAATGTAATAGGCAATCGGTTGTAAATCAGAATTACAGTAGATGACAAATGAATGTCAATGGTTTGACAAGATTTTTAGTTATTGTTTCAAATAAACATCATTCATTTTACAGTAAAAATGGAACAAGGTTTTTTTATTACAAAAAAACAAAAATTCAGGCCCAAAATGGTTAATTTATACCCTTACCATCATTACAGAGTTTCTCCCTCCTCCCACCACAAAAGAGAATGCAATTAATAGTAAATTGTAACCAGCCAGAAGTTTCAGCTTTACTGTACTCACATTTTACAATACCCTGGTAAACTTTAAATTGATTCATGTCAGACCATGGTGGTTTTGTGGTACTGTATACTCCCATTATGGTCAAACCAACTACTGTTACTTCCTTATAGTTTAGAGTGGTCAAAATGGGGGTGTAAATTATAGTGGGCCTACGACCATTATTAAACAAAACCAACATTTGAATGGTAACAACTAACAACAAACCAGAACACATTGCTATATTACAACCATACTGTAAAATTTACCACCTAAAATATAGTTCACTACTAGTACATCCCTATGACAAACAGCTACATAAACTCAGAAGGGACCAATTTTTTTTCTATCCCGCTATTTAATTTTTAATATTGTTGTTGATAATGAAGGAAAGACATGCTACGTGTCTATCTTCCTTTTGCGAAATACGTGACCTACGCTATTTAATAATTAGTCTGCCTTGAGGCAAATATACGAGCAACACTAACGATAATGCGCAGTTATGTCTAAGATCTTGGATTCTCTGAAACTATACCGCTAAATTACAATTAGTAAAATGCATCAAGTAAATTCGCTTTCTATAATATTTCTACATACTTTCTTTATTAGTTGTATGTAATTGTACACTTTTGAAATCTCAAAGCTACCAGTTTTTCAAAGAAAATACATTGCTCAAAAGAGATGATCCATTTTATAATTTAATTATTCACACTTAAGAATAAATAGTACAAAATGTAATGATAAAATGTATAGACTAATTGTTGGGAATAGAAAGATATATGGAATAAAATTGGTATATACCTTCAAGCTCATAATTGCAAGATTTTCAATTGTTTTAATCATCAACTATAAGAATCGATGGAAGTAGTTCAAACCAGACTTCAACCAGTTATTCCTTTAAATTGTAATTAAAGTTAAGTTACAGTACATCACACCAGGTTCTCATTTCTTGCAAATTGTAATACTTTTAGTGAATACAAATTTTATTTATACTATGAAAATATTTTCTTTCTTTTACGACTACTCTCTGAAATGTCACAAGTTTAATCAAAATACCTAAATCGATTTTGCTGTTAAAAATATTATATTAATAGATTTAATTCGTGTTTTTATTTTAGATTCTTAGTATTTTTTTTATCATACTGATAGTTATAACTCGCACCTGATTGATTTATAGTCAATTAATATAGCGATACATTTTTTATTTGAAAATTAGGAAACTATATTTTTAAAAGATTTTTTAGAGGAGACTAGATAAAAAATATTCATTTTTTTTCTGAATTTAGTAAAACAGTTTGACAAAAGGCATCTGGAAAATAAAATAAGTAACTATTGATATTTGTAATGGTATACAGTACAGTAATTATAAATTTACAAATTCATATACTAACAACTGATTAGCAACTGACATGAATAGTTTGCTAAAGAAAATACCTACCGATCCTATGTGAAATTAAATTGCAATTTTAAGATAAAAAATTCATAGAAACTAAGGGTCAGTAAAACACATCAAATTAACCTACATTTTCCATAAATGGCCATTTCACTGTTGTATGATATGACCAGCATCATCAAGAAAATCAGCACACTATTATCATTAACAAAAACCTTACGAGGCTCCACAACTATATGTTACAATTTATGGTAATTTACTAAATCCATATCTTATAGTTTTAGCAACACATTATTTTACATGATGGCAGCAACCTATATTATTGGAGTTTTGGGGATTTCAGATACATAGGCTTTCAAATATACTGTTTTTTCACATAATACAATACATATACATAATAATATAACAAAAAAAAAGATCTTAAGAGCATGTCTAGGTTCTTACAATTTAGGTTTATCTTCCTATATAGTATAATAAATCATTATACTGATAAATATCAATAATAAAACACACTTAATATAAATATATTTTAATATGATGTAATAACAACAATTTTTAAAAGTGTCAATTAGCAGTTTATGCAAATACTGTTTGTCCTTACAATGGCAATTACTGATCATACACAATTAAGTTTACAGTTTAGTGGCA